ACACCGGTGGACAGGCAAAACACACAGCAAAGTAAACGGTAGATCGCGACACAGACACCAAGAAACACAGGGCTCAAATACACAGAGGGAGCAATCAGGGAATGGGTAACAGGAGGGAAACACAGCTGGGGCAAATCAGGCCTAACGAGACAAGGGGGAAGCAAAACCAGACACATTAACATCAGACATGGACTTTCAAAGTAAAACAGGAAACATAACACAGACTCACGGGCAGGCACTATAACAAAGGGAACAGAGACGTGGGAACAGGGCAGACACAAACACTGACTGAACACGGGGATATAGGAACTTAAGATACACATAGACGCAAACTAGACAAGGGGATGCAGGTGATAGGGGAGACAGAGCAACTAAAGAAGACAGAGACATAAGCCATTAGATAGAACTCAAAGAAACCAAAAACTAGACAGTATAAATAATATAAACTCAAAAGCCCTGGGTCGACGACCCAGGCATCCTAACACCAAAATATGTAAACAAAAACTTTCATGGTCTTTGGCTCCAAGTGCACCTGTTTCTTTTTATTGCAAATGGTGCAATTAAGAAATTCTGCAGCTCTAACCATTAAAAAAACAAAATCTATACTTTAATGTTGTTGTTTTTTTTTATAGCCCTACAATGGATCGGTGACCCTCTCGTCGGCTGGAATAGGGTCCAGCACAACTATGACAGCACAGATGGGCTGTACTGAATCTAAGTTTACCTGATTTTCCCTTCAATATCATCTTCTTCCGTGTCTATGAATTGCTTTAAGGGCTACTGCTCCGTTTAAATTTTTCCCAAGAAATCCTGTGACCACTTGCCTATGCTCTGTAATTTCATTATGAACCTCACACTTGAGCAGAGAACAACTTCTCTGTCAAACTGACCTGTTGAGGGCTTTCATTCATCATGACAGCTGAAACTGCTATCTCTCAGCTGCTGGGTTTACAGTTTGCATGAAGGGTATGCAATAACTAAACTCAAAGATGGTATATCAGGTTAGAAGCGTGACCACAAGTATGCTCGTCCTTTTTCACCCCCCTGGATCAGATGGATCAGATGAGGGTTATGAGGGAGAACAGCCTCTCCATCGTCACTAAACTGCTGGCCAAATGTGTTTCTGTGGTGTTCTCATGTTCTCTAAAATTAACTATAATGGTCACTACCTTGAAACTCTGGAGCAGATCCAGGGGGCATCTCAAAAGCAAAACATATAAGTGGTCAAATGCAGCTTTCACAGCAGCCAAGAACAGCAGCATTGCTGGAAGTTCTCCAGAGGTGAGCAGGGAGACGAGCTGGAAAAGAAGATTGATCCAATTTAAATAGGGTAGGTTTTTCTTATTACAGGTAGAATTGTAAATGTTTTTGTTTTTATTTCATCTTGATTCAACCAGCTGGCAAAACGTGAGGCTTGAACTTCTTCACCATCAGTGTGGTTCAGTATTGAAGCATTTTCAAAAGTCTTCTACATTTTCTGCTATGTAATAGCTTTTTTCATTCACACTATGAATTAATGACTTTAATGATGACGGCCACTGAACTGAGAGTCCTAAATGGAATGTGGCTATAATTAATATTAGTTAGAACTATGCTTTCCTGTTGTGACGCTTCGCAGCATGCCAAAATGTCTGTAGTGTGTGCAAACAGACTGATTAGTGATAGGCAAGAAATTGCTCAAGCTGAGTGTGAGAGAGGAATGATGCCTGAGCAGTAACAGGATAAAGCTAAATCCCCTGTTAATAACCATAGGTGCTTTATTGTATCATTCCAAGGTTATAGCTCTGCTTTGTCATACATTCAAAGAAAATGCAGCTGTATCCAAAAACATAAATAAATGTCTGTTAAATTTAAATGTTTTTATAGCCAATACATGTAAAATGTCAGGATCGTTGCACTGGCACAATTTTCATTTTAAAGTTTGCCCCTTATTTTCTTTTGTTGCCAGTGTACTTAAATTGAATAAAAGCCGACATAAACAGTACGCACAGACCAATCCCGGTGTGTCCTTGTGTCCACCTCTTCAGCAGTGCTGGTAAAAGGTTAAAGTGTGCTGAGGAGCTTTTAGTCATTAAAATTTCGCAGTTTGGATTCAATCGAAAAAACACATTGAAGGCAAGATAGAATAAGAGCAAGAAAGCAGCACTCGCATTATATCACAGGTCAGCTGTTTTTCTATTACTTTTCTCGTCTTATTTGGGCAGCGGGGGAAAGGAGTGTATGGGAGAAAAGGAGCTGATAGAAAGAGGAGTAATGTCTCCATAGCTCCACTGCACACTCATATTTCTTTTATCTCTCGACCCTGTTTTGTGTTTCGCTTCTCAGTGTTTCAGGGCCAGTGGCCATCTGAAATTAGATTTCTTAAGGTACCCACATATGTGGGTGAGGTTCACACACAGATGCGCAGTGTGGGTGTTTGTGTCTGCTTTACAGATGCAAAAAAAAAAAGAGTGTACATGAGCATCCATCTCTCTGGCTTCTTCGATCAATTTAAGTTGAAGAAATTGGATTGCCAAGTTTGCCGGTTTACTTTTTTTTTATAGGGGACTTCAGAAGTAGAAGTACAATATGACAAAATGCAAGTGAGAAGTTGTGTTTTAAGGTGTAATATGAGTAGTGTGTGTGCCTGTGTGTGAGTAACCCCTCATCAATCTCTGGCTGCTTGCTTTCTGATTTACCTCTTCCCTACTCTGGTGAGGAGATGCTGCCTTCACTAAGCAATGACTCATCCTTCAGTGAGAAAAAAATTCTGTGTGTGTGTGTTATGCATGTCTGCATGTGCACCTTAAAGAACATCTGCTCCTTTCATTGGAGAGCTTTTGTCCTTGTAACCACAATGCACACCGTTGATTGATGTCTTTGTTACCCTAAAAAAGAGACACAAAAAGACAATTAAGTTAAAAATAAAAAGGCTTTAATTTTGAATTATGTTCACCCCGACTTTTTGCTTTTATGAATCCTATATTTTGTTGAGCTGCTCAGAAAATAATCTAAATCATCAACTATTTTTGCAGAGCATAAATAGGTAAGTCGTCTCGTGCCACATAAAGGTTTAGAGCTCAAAGGACGGCGTAAATATAATCCCAGTTATATAAAACCAAGTTTCACTCCAAAAATTCTATTTACTTTGGAAATAAATCGAATGTCTGTAGAGATATAATTTAATGATTTCCTGTATGCGCCCTCAGAAGGTTTCCTGCATGTAAAGTCAGCACTAGATGACACGACTTGGTGAGATTGATATTTTTCCTGTGCTGTCTCTGCTGTGTGATAGCTTTCTATTTTACCTTTTATGTTCAGAAAAAAAAACCCTGAAAGAAGGGAGAGTATAACATAAACCGTGCAAGTACAATACAGTAATAGGGGCATTTTCAATAGTGTCTTCTCATACAGTAGGTTGACTATTTCAATTTAGTGCTGCATTTTTCACCAATTTCCTCTGCTTTAAGAGATTTTACACTTCTACAGAAATGCCTTGTGCAGTCATATGAAACTTGTGAGTTATTTTAACTGTCATGGAGGTCGGTTACTAACTGTCGAAAGTAATAGAAGCATGTGTGGAATTGTTGTGACTGATAAAACTGTAAATAATAGGTGTAACAGATCAAACGGTTAGCCGGAACATCTGGTATCCAGCAGCACAATTTTACAGTTAACAGACATTCACTCTGTAGGTTGTCATATCCACATGGCAGATTTTAGTTTATCAGCATAAGAAGTGAGTCTTTCTTTTTTAAATAACATACAAAAACAGCTGACACACAACATTCAAGTATGCACAAAAAATATGAGGACAAAGTTTATTACAGTTGTTTCCGGTAAATGCTCACGTAGGTGTTTGCAAATGTATCTTCATCTTTAATGCAAAGCTACTGGAGTACTTTGCTTAGTGCTCGGTTAGCTAGCTTCCCTGATGTTCACTTTCAGTGACCTAACTCCTACCAGAGGAATATTTGAAGGGAATGTTGGTGTGAATATGCACTGTGGCAGCAAGATGCTGTGGGCTCCAGAGTTGAAAGCACAGTAGCACACATTGTGTCCTCCTCCTCTCTACTCAGTAGCCTCACAAAGACTCTCAGAGGCGTCAGCATTGCCAGGGGCCTGATTGGCTTTGGACAGGCTGCATGATTTTAAGGTTTATTATCATAAGGACTCTCCTTTCATGCCAGCAAACACATTCAGATATGCCACTGTACAATTGGCATTTTGATTTGTTTGTGTATGCATGTGCATCACTATATGTTTTTCTCTGGGAACATGTATTGTGTAACACAGATTGAGGACCAACAGCTATTTACTGTCTCTTTTGATTTGTTAGCACCACTCGCAGCAATGTCTTTTGACCAGTCTCAAACTCAGTTGTGTGGCCAACACAAACAATTAAAGACATGCCCACTGTGATCTTAGTTTCATTCTTTCATTATGGATCAGCAACAGCAGGGGCCCTAATTACTTGTGTTGGCTTGCTGAGAGAATGAATGGGCACCGACTCAACCACAGGGCCAAAACAGGAACCCCAGGGGTTTAGATGAGCTGGCTTCTCAGAGTCAGCATTGGCAGGGAATCTGACTTCCTCTATTTCTGTCTGTTTATTGTCATTAGTTCTCATTTGTTAGCTCACTTTGCCTTTCCAAACTTTCCTTCTGATTGACTCTCCCTGTTGTTTTGGGATGTATTTGCTTGTTTTCCCATTTTCTTTTCATTTATGTTGCTAACCAGGGAGGCAGTCAGGATCTTTTGGTGTCCTTTGCGATCCACCAATCCAATTTCTGACTTAAAAATAAGTTTAGGACATCCACCTGCTAACTGAGACACCAGTCTCTGTCAGTACCCAATGAAGATAAAGTTGGTATTTTATTTAGCACACAGCTGATTTCTAAAAAGATTTGCAAACCAAACTGAATTTTTCATACTGCTCTGAGGCTTGTGGAGCCCCTTTCTCTTCTCCAGCTTGTCGTAGACTTCTCTCTGACCTGTGTCTTGTCTCTTCTGTATTGCAGCTGGGGACAGAGTGGACCGCTCCAGGCGAGTTTAGCAAGTTCAGGTCCCAGTCTTCGAAGTCTGTGCAGTAAGTACCTCTGACAACCACACACGTATCAGGATGGCAAAATGATTTCACTTTCTCAGCAGTAGAGAGACCAAAAGGGCACAAGAATCTGATGGAGGATCTCCCAGGAAAGGTTTTGCCGGATGTTTTGTTAGTTTCACCTTGTAAACCTGTCAGTGTGTGTGTATTTGTGCCATCATAGCAAAATGCAGTCTGTATACACTGTAGGGGGAAGTACCTAAACACAATTCGGAATACTTGAAAGCTGTTAGCAAGAGCATATATGTCAGGATGTCAACATCCAGTCTTCCATGGTTGTTTCTGTTAAATAGTCTCTTTACCTGTTAAGCAGCAGTCTGCAGCAATTGCTGTATTTGCACATTAATATTACTCTACAACCTAATTTATAGCAATAAAAGTAATCTCTAGGTAGATGCAGATATTATCAAGGAACATGATTTTTGGTACTGGTTTCTGTTTGCAGTCTGACTAGTACAGAACAGTTGTGTTTGTATAGGTCAGGCGTGGGGGAACTCCAGGCCTCAAGAGCCGGTGTCCTGCTGGTTTTAGCTGTGTCCTTGAACCAACACAGCTGATTTGTATGGATAAATTACATCATCAACATGTCTTGAAGTTCTCCAGAGGCCTGGTAATTAACTAATAATTTGACTCAGGTGTGTTGACCCAGGGTGAGATCTAAAACCTGCAGGACACCGGCCCTTGAGGCTTGGACTTCCCCACCCCTAATATAGGTTTTTCTTCCTATGGAGAGCAAAGGAAGAAACACATTTACCAAAATGCAAACTTGAAACCATCAGCCAATATCTGACAAGATTACATTTATAAACAATAACTGGCACATAGAACAGGAAGCCTTGGTCCTGCAACCCTACACTACAACTTCTCACATATAAGAAGAAAGTGTTCCCTGGAGACTGAAGAGCAGATCTTCTATGCATGTTTTGTATGCATGCTAGTACCTATATCTATAGATGAATTACCATTCTGTATAAGAAGTGCTCTCAGGTGTCGACAGTCTTAATCCTGAAAGTACTCTCTTTCTCAGTAAATGTAAGATGGAGAGGCATTAAACTATCCAGTCCTCGACACATCTTTCTCCCTAATGTTTACATGATGACTCACTGAGTTCTTGGGCCACACCCATCTTCAAACTCTCCTTTAATATTGATTTTTAAGTTTTCAGACTCCATCTTGCATGGTTGTGAGACTCAGGTTGACAAGCAAATAGACAGGTGACAAAGTACTCAAAGCTGCTTCTTTTGTCGTAGTTCTTACTACACTACTTGTCTCCAGAACCCAATTTTTATGACAACAGAGACATACAGACAGCCACAGATTCACAAAGTGAACATAATATCTGCCGCATTGTGATTGTAAGCACTTATCTGCATCCACTTTGCTTCTGAACTCATTGTTAAGTTTATATGATTGTGCAGGAGAACCGATTCTAAAAGCTCTTGTTCCTTTGGGTTGCCTCATTTGCCCGACTGAATGAAGCACAAGTGTTGGCCTAAATTATTCAAATCACTGGTGTTTGGGGTGAAGTTAAGGGATACTTGGATCTTTTAAATGTAACAAATTAGGTTATGAACAATTATAACAATACGGTGTAGAAAGAAAGCTCACATTCTGTGTGGGTTGTCTTAGTTCTTACCAGGGCATAAAATTAGAGATGAACAACAATACATGATGTATTACACTGTGTAATTATTTGTTTAACAAAAATAAGCCAAAATGCAGAAGCGGTGAGTGCAATAAATAAATACTCTCTATGATTGAATAGCTTTTATAGCTGCTTTGAGCAGCAATAACTTGAAGCAACTTAAAGTAATCTTTTTTTCTTTTAATCCATCTCTTATGTCATTCTGGAGGAATTTTGGCCCACTCTTCTTTACAACATTGCTTCGGTTTATTCAAGTGTGTGACAATTCATTTATGCACAGCTCTCCTAAGGTCCCAGCACAGCCTTTCAGTTGGGTTGAAGTCTGGCCTTTGTCTGGGCCACTGCAAGACTTTAATTCTTTTATTTTACAGCCGTTCTGTTGTAGATTTGCTGCTGTGCTTGGGATCATTGTCTTCTTGCATGACCCAGTTTGCCCAAGGCTTTAGCTGTCAGATAGACAACCTCACATTTGACTATAGAATACTGTGGACAGTGGAGAAGGAGTTCATTGTCGACTCAATGACTGCAAGGTGTCCAGTTCCTGTGGCTGCAAAGAAACCAAAAACCAAAATAATGATCCCTCCACCACAGTCCTGACAGTTGGTATAAAGTGTTTGTGCTGTTGTGCTGTGTTTGGTTTTCACCAAAACTGGTACTGTGCATTATGGAGATGCTGCATCTCCACTTTGCTCTCATCTGTCCAAACGACGCTGTAAAAACTATTTGTTCAGATAAAACTTGTCAAATCTAAACCATGCTGCCATGCTCTTTTTAGAGAGAAGAAGCTTTCTCCTAGAAAGCCAAACAAATTATACATTTTCAGTCTTCTTTTAATTGTACTGTCATGAACTGAGGCCTTCAGACTCTAACATTTCTCTGAACATTGCTCGGTCTGACCTTGGGATGAATTTGCAGGAACGTCCACACCTGGATTTGAAATTGTTTGGAAATTACCATATAACCCTTCGCCAACTAATTGGCAGAAACAGTTGCTTCTTCAAGAGCATTGCTGTTGTCTGTACTCTTTGGTATTGTTTTAACACACACCTGAATGCTCCAGACCAGCAAAAACAAAGAAAGTGACAGAACATACAGTGTGATAACATCAGAAGTGTTGGTTGGATGTGTAAATGGACCTCTGAGTTGACGCTCTACTGTAAGTCAGTGTAGGTGTTCAGGTAACACTGACAAATGTCTCACTGGATCTAGTGGAAGTTTGAAATCATAGATGCATACAATGCATAAAAAAAATACATGCATACATACCATACAAACATGCATAAAAAAGTCAGAGGCCCAGATTATTCCCGTCCCAAAGGCCATTTGTGTAACACCTATACAGCTGTTTTTGAAATTCAGTTTTAAAATAAAATATACTGAACATGATACTTCCAAATGCAGCTCTATATTATGATTAAAAATAATAATGGTACTATGAAAATCAGTCATGCCTGCTTGCCATTTTATATCCCCAGTGTGATGGTTCCATTATCAAAAGAAACCACATCCCAAGCTATGAAAATCCAATGAGATGGCACACATTCAGGGAATATGTTTCACAACGAACTTTACGTTCTTTATATTGATTACAGTATTGATTTTACATTACAGTTTATTCAGGCTGACTCTCTCCATCACACCAGCGTCTAATCATATATTGAATTCTCATCGTTACTGGTGCTGAATTTTTTTTCTTGTTTTTTGTAAAGCTATACCCACGCACACAGTTTAGTCTCTTGTGTGTTTGTACAGTCTGTTCTTGTTCCAGGTCTTCATGACAAAAAAGTGGTAGTGTGGTTCTTGGCTGGAAGTTACACATACGTAACACCTCAGTGTGTGTGCTTTTAAATTGTGTTTGCTTTGGAGGTTTCGGTAGGTTATCGTCACGGTTTGTGCCTACGTGCTTTTGTTTTTTGGCAGGTTTGTTATGTGTAGGTTGTTTTTGTGACGGGATAAAACCAAATCATAATGCTGAAGTCCTTTTTATTCATGAATGTTGTATGTGCAAGTGTTACTTTATCTCTGTGCGTAGGATTAACTGGGTCTGGTTAGCACGGAAGGCTCACCAGCCTACGAGGGAGAGCAAAGAGGTGACAAAAATGAAATAGAAGAAGAGACAGAAGGATGCGGTTGAAAGTTTTTCTATTTTCTTTTCCTGTCTGACAAGTATATTGCAGTCTCCCACAATAACAAGACAACAACAAAGCAACCAAGCGTGAAGGCAGATTATGACAGGAACATTAAAAAGGTTGTGCAGCAGAGGAATTTGAGTGTGACACTTCAAGTTTTGTGACCTGTTACTGTGTTTCTGCGTGTGAATGTATTTTGCATCTGCTTAAAAGTATTTTGGGTGTGTTGTCGTTATTTTTTTTTAACTTATGCCAGTCAAGGGGAAGTGTTCAAGAGAACAAGGCTGGACTGCGCGTTGTCTATCCCAATGAAATCTGATATAACGATGATTAACACACAGCAGTTGTTGCCTTCATCTACCTCTCCGAAAGCGTTTAATGTTTCCTGGCCTTGATGTGTAAAGTGATTTATGATTTCTCTGTCATGTCATTATTTATTTATTTATTTTGTTCTTCCCAGACATGAAGCAAGTTGAAAATTGTGCGCTTTTAAGCTTGATAACTGAAGTCAAATCTATTTTGATTTTATAGCTGCTCACTTTCACTTGCTTTAGAGGAGCCATGTCAAAGAGGACATGAAAGTCAGTTTCAATATAATTATACAAAATCGGTTTTGCTATTTCATGTGTGGGTGTACATCAGAGAACATGTTCATACTTTTGCATGCAAAAAAATACAGGCCTGTCTGCATTAATGTGAATGTGCTTGTTAAATACTGCACCATTTGAAAGTCTGCTAATGGCTTTATTGTGGGACCTCAAAGCAAAAAAAAATTAATTTGTCATTTTCCGCATGTTCCCTGTGCTGCCCCGTGCAACTTGCATCCCTCACACACCATTGCACTCGATCTGTTTGTGGCAGGATATCCTCCCAAACGTGGCAAATCTGTGCAGAAGGATTAATTGCCATGCCTTCATAAGAAGGTATTCTTCAAATTAGATGGGATGGAATTGAAATGAGCAAATTAGCAGTGCAGAAGCGAATAACATATCGCTTTCCGTCTATTTTTTATTTAAAAAAAGAGACGACGTGAGCAGCTGTTATTATCGCTCATTAGATTTTATAACCTGGTAATTTCAAAGATCTGTAAACCTGATAAAATCAAGGAATAATCGAACAAAACTAAATGATTTCAGTGTTCCCGGGTTTTTATTACACTCAATTTCGTAGATGGGCACTGCGAAAATTATAAGTCATTACACATGAGG